TTTTGAGATCGGAATATATGAAACATGATAACCAAAATGATATAATTTGCCCCAAGGATTTTTTTTTTGTTGCATTCCAAAGGAGGGTGAGGGGCACAGGTGCAGGATTGGCACCTCCTTCCCTTCTAGTACTCAAAATAACCTGTGTGTGAGGATTTTGCTGATTTTAAATACTTGAAGGTAGGACTGGAAAGATGGCTCAGAAGTTAAGAGCACTGGCTGTTCTTCCAGAGGACCCAGGTTCAGTTCCCAGCACCTGCACAGTGGCTAACAACCAGCTGTAACTTCAGTTTCAGGGGATCTGATGCCCTCTTCTGACCCCCGAGGGCACTGCACAACACAGGTGCACTTACATACATGCAGGCAATACGCTCATATGCAACAAATAGAATTTTTTAAATATTTGAGGGAAATGAATGTGGAAATTGCTGTAATTCAAAATAGCATAGTTATTTCATTATGTCTGTTAGATAATTTTATATAGTCTTGTTTTACCTTCAATGTAAAGAGCTGACAGGTGAGCTTTTGTCTTATACCCCTTGTGGGGTGGATTTAGACATCAGTAACTGCTTGAAAATAAACTATTTCCCTAGATTTAATCTCCTTAGAATTAGAAAACTGCATAAAAATAGAAAATGGATTGCAGAACAATTCCTGATTCTTGTCCTGTGTGAGTTAAGAGATACACACAGAGAGCCAGTGACGTGAGTAGGGCCATGTGGCCAGTGTGGTGGCAGTCACTTAGAGCAAGGTCATCACCTTCCCACAGTGAGTCTAACTGCTTCCTTACCCTGTACTGTGGGGAGGAACGTGGAATACCTGTGTGAGCTTCAGAGAGAGATAGAACCAGCTGAATTCTGGTTCCTCTTTCCCAGAGCCCAGTGACCTGAAAGCTTAAATCACCTGTCAGATTCTTGCTCTTACCACCCATGGATGTAAAGGAAGCTAAATAAAAATAGAACCTGACATTGGATCCTAAAACTCTCCCGTAGAGCTGGAATGTACGTGGTTCTGTTTGCTTTTGGACACTAGTATTTTCCACAGTGTAGACCTACTTAACCTGGGGCAAATCTCATACCTTGCTGGATCCAGCATTGAAATCCACCTCCATATGACCTAATATGTCATTTTCAAGAGAATTCATCTACTTTTCTGAGGAATGAGTTTATTCATCTGATGATTTAGCTAGAGCCTGCCCTATGTCAGGAAGTGGTGATAAAATGGAAATGAATATGTTCATAAAGTCTGAAATATCAGATAATAAGATCTTGCCAGTTACTAGCTGGGATTTAGTTTAAGGTTTACTGAGGGGAATTAAGGGAGATTACCTATGTCCAGATTTCCCATGTTTCTAGCTGAGGTTTAGGTTTAGGGTTCATTTTCTTTTTGTGAAAAGTGTCCTTCAGCCCACTAATGGGTCCTTAGGTACAAACGAGGATTCACAACCCCTACCCTCCAGAAATTGTATTTGTTTCTTTAAAAGAAACCAAGAGTTTTAACTTTTCATAAGAAGAAAATATACCAAGTATATAATAAAAAGCATATTCATTGGATAATATCTAGTCATTTGTTACTAAAAAGCATATGTTACTGTCCCATTATAAAAGCGACTTATGACCTGAATATCTTTTTGAAAACATAGTATTTATATTGTTGTAGATTTCATAGTTATTCACAATTTTTATATCTTTTAAAATAAAATTATAGCAAATAGTGATTCATGGGGGTCTTTATTATTGACTTTGCTTATTTCATTAGCAGAGTGACCATAAAGAGAAATAAATTCCTGCTCAAGAAGTCAAGAAATATATTTTACATTCCTACAGATGAGGGTCGTGTGTGGGAACCAGAGCTACATTGCTTCTCAGTAGGTAGAAATGTGTCCTGGACACTGTGGGAGGTCACACTATCCCTGCCCTTGGTCTGGATTGATTAAGATTGCAGAAGCTTTTTGTTCTTTGAACAGGAGATAGAATAACATGAAAAGTGCATGGGGTTACTTTGGCTTCTTTTAATTAAGATTAATTTTAGTAAGTTGCTAATGTCCAGAGCCTGGGAAGACCTGCAGAGTAGGGGATGCTCTTCATCCCTCTGTGTGGCCAGAGGGTGGGTGCTCTTCATCCCTCTGTGTGGCTGGTGGGCCACTGATACTTGTTTCCGTGCAAGAAAAAAAATAAATAAATAAAACTGTGTGTATCCCAATCCTTTCTTTTAAAACTGGAGAAATTAAAAGGCATTGTATGTTCTGTTAAATATTTATGTAGTAGTCTATTGATGTCTTCTTTTAAATCTGTCTTTTCATATTGTAGCTGAGGTAGAGGAGGTGTGTTCCTCAGGAGCTGGCATCTTTGTGGCTTTCTCTACAAAACCTGCCCAATCTTAAAAATAGTCCTTTGATATACTTAGATTTTTTTTCTTTTTTTTTTTTTAAGTTTATAAAGGTTTTGTCATTCAGAAAAAAATGCAGAATTATATATTGGAGTTGAGTTTATTTTTAAAGCAAATGTGAAGATGTTTTTGTCTTCTGATACAATATTCTATAACAAATAGAAATTGTTTATAGAGCTGTATATGAAGAGTGTCTTTAATATATACTATTATTTGAAATAGTAAGGGGTTTTATTTGTTTGTTGTTTTCTTGTACTGAGGATGGACTCCCATGGCCTTGAGTGTGCTAGGCAAGGGCTTTGCTACTGAACTACCCCACCACCCTAAAAAGTCATAGTTTTAAAAGGTATGCTTATCTTTAAAGACTTAGGAAATGAGTTTTATTTGTTTTTGTTTTTGTTTTTATCCCCCCACCCCAGGTATTTTAGAATTTTGGCACTGTAATCCTTTAGAAAGTGCTCTTTTATGTCTTTATATCAGAGACCTTGAATGTTTAATTTACTTTTCAGTAAAACTGTCAGTTGTAATCAGCAATTTAAAGAGAAAAACGAATAAAAAAAACCCCGATTTCATAGTTTAAACCTTATTAGTCTAATTCACTACACTGCAGTTTATTATTCTCCTACAGCTTGCTGGTCCCTATTGTAATTGTGTTGACCCTTCAGTGGGTTCCGCCTCCCCGGTGCTTATCAAACTGGGAGCAGTAAGTCCGCAATTTGGAACTTCATTAAGTATCTCGTTTATGTTAAGCTCATGATTGCTTCTAACAGAAGTAATAATGTGTCCCAGGGAAGACAGTACAGTAGCCAAGGCTTCTGGTGTCTGAAAGATTTGTCTTCTCTGCTTTACTGTGGAGTACCTGCTTGTCCAGCCCCTGCCTGGCTCTGTGCCATTGGCATCCCAGGAAGCCAGTCCACAGAGAGCCTCAAAGTGGACCGGAGCCTGCAGTGTGGGACCCTTAGTCCCTCCTTGAAGCAGAATATTTCAAGTCCTTCTTAACACAAAGGCCTTCCTCTTATTTCTTTGGAATTGACTTGTAAGAGACAGCTGTCCTAAGGACCTTTAAAAAAAAAAAAATTAACTAGGTCTCTTGTATCCCACACTGACCTCAAACTCACTATGTAGCCAATAATGAATGACCTTGAACTCCTGATCTACCTGCCTTCACCTCTCAAGTGTTAGGAATACAGTTGTGAGCCACTATACCCAGTTTATCAGTGCCAGAGACTGAACCCAGGGCCTCATGCATGCTAAACAAGCATTCTACCAACTGAGCTACCCTCCCCACCAACCCTTTTCTTAAAGTCCTTACTCATTTAGCAGATTGCATATATTTGCTTAATGCTCATATGATTGTGTGTTTCATCAAAACATTTGGTCCTGAGCTCAGGGTGGATGATGCACTTAAGTGTGAAGAACAGTGATGACAGATGCGTGATGACAGATGCGTGTAATGTCGGTCCCCATGACACAGAGGTAGAGTCCCCTGAGCAGTACTCATGAAATAGAGGTAAAGGTTCCCTGGGCTTGCTGGCCAGCTAGACACACTGCAATCTGTAAGCTCCAGTTCCGTGAGAGACCGTACCTCAATACATAAAGTGGGAAGTGATTGAGGAAGATACTCAAAGTCAACTCAGGCTTCCACATGCATGTACACCCAAACACGTGTCCGCACACATGCAAACATGCATATGTATAATGCAAACACACTACACATATATATACATGCAAAAAATTTGGTCCTTACTGTCATGCTGTTCTGCACATGCTTAAAGTGTTTCCAAGCTGCTTCCTTAAACTTAAAGATTGTCTTACTTTGAAGCTGGGTGTGGTGGCTCATGCCTTTAATCCGAGCACTTGCATTCCTATAGTCCCAGCACTTGGGAGGAGGAGGCAGAAGCAGAGGCAGGCAGATCTCTGTGAGTTCAAGGCCAGCCTGGTCTACATAGTGAGTTCCAGGTCAGCTGGGGCTACAGAGAGACCCTGTCTCAAAAGACATAAATAAATAAATAAATAAATAAATAAATAAATAAATAAATAAATAAATAAATAAATAAATAAATAAATAAATAAAATAAATAAAGTCTTACTTTGATATGACAATGAGCCTTAATTTCTACAGAATTTAAGTGCAGTGTGTCGCTAAAGACACCTAAGCTAAAAGATGGAGAGGGCAAACATATTTATTTATGTCCTGTGGCTACAGAAATGAACCAAAGTCTAGCATCTATTCTGACAAAGCCAACCTTTGACAGAACAGCAGCTAGCAATGAATTCCAAATTAAGCTGTAATTTACCTTGACCTCAATACATGCTAACAGTCAAACTGAAAAAATAAGCAACAAGATAAGACTTTAAAAAAAAAATCTTTTAATATACATATTTTTCTTCCAGTGGTTGAAATCTGACAGAGCTCCATGGGAGGCATGGACTGAAGTGCCACTGAAAGTTGGTCATTAGGCCAAGCTGTCAGCACAAATTATTTTGGTATAGGTTGAAAAGTTCTAGTTCATTTGGTGCCTGGTTGGACGCAAGCCTTAGGAAGTTGTTATAACGCCCCCATGCTGCTAATGGCCTCCCGGACTCACTTTCCCTGCCCCCTTTCTCTGTAGCTGAGGTCACCTGGGAGCCCTGCTGGACCTGAGCTACCCATTGAAACAGTGTTGGATGACCGAGAGCGGAGGATCTCCCATTCTCTCTACAGTGGGATAGAGGGGCTGGATGAGTCGCCCACAAGGAATGCTGCACTCAGCAGGATAATGGGTGAGTCAGGTAAAGCTCTCCTCATCTCATCTCATTTCCTGTTTATGCGTGCTCTGGTTCACTAAGAGGTGATTAATGCAATATTAATGTAAAAAGGAGGCCTGTGATTCCAAGAGGAAAAAGAACAGGTTTGTTATGATCATTCGGGAAACACTGATGTGAGGAGAGTACAACCATGCACTGAATGGTTAAATGAGCTAGCTTCCAATCCCAAAAGTATGCTGAGGACAGAAAGGAAAAGGATCTCAAAGAAATGTGATCATGATAGCCTTAGCTTGTTGGAACTAATAAGGGAAACTATGTTTCACAAAATATCAAGGGCCAAGGAGATTGCTCAATTGGTAAAATCCTTGCCTTGCCACCCCTCAGAACACCCGTAAAAAGCCAGGTGTGGTGGCACATATCTGTAATCCCAGCACAGGGAGGTGGAGACAGGAAGATCCCTAGAGATAATTAGCAGCCAGTCAACTTAGCCTAATCAGCAATCTCCAGGTCCCAATAAGAGACCCTATCTCAAAAACACATGGTGGGTGGCTCCTGAGGACCAAAACCCAAGGTTGACATCTGACCTCTACATGAATGCACACACGTGCATACACACATGCACGCACGTATATATGTACACTAATCATAATTTAGTTCTTTATGGCAAAAGGAATGCAGAAGTTCTGCCACTCTGAGTAGCATAGCCGTAGAGGAAGATGAAACGAACACAGATACACTTTCCTCTAAAGGATTCGTGGTTCCCTTGTATTTAGTAGGATCTTTGCCACATTTCTACTTTACTAAAGCTTTTGCCTTTAAATTCATTAGTAAAACTCTGTGCCCTTTGTTGGAATCTACCCCATACTGCCTGCCGGGCCCCCAGTGGGTAATGAGGTTATAAGCGCTGTTCTCCTACAGTTCAGCCTTCTCGTAACAGACCCAGTTAATAAAGCCTTGCTCTGCCACTGGAGAGGATGGGTTTATAGAATTGCTCATCTTGAGATTAGCTTGAGAGACTTTTCAAATTTAAAGTATAAGAGACACTTTTGATTGAAATAACACCTGACACAAAACAATGGGATTACTGTTCTGTTTTGCAATGCTCTTAATTTAAAGCAAAACCCTAAATTTAGTTGCATTTTGAGTATATTCAGTGCAGATCTAATATAAATGCAAGTTTCCATTGTGCAAAATCAATGAAACAGAGTTTGGTTAATTTGTCTGAGGGTGTTTTTGGAAAGCCTTCCTTGGCAAGGCATTGTGTTAGTAGTACATATAGGTGAATTAAGAAATAGTCTCAGTGGGTGTGATAACACACACCTTTAATCCCAACCTTTGGGTATCAGAGGCAAGTGGATCTCAGTAAGATTGATATGAGCCTGATCTACCTAGTGAGTTCCATGCCACCTGAAGCCACTGGAAGACCCTGTATCAAAACAAAACAAAGAACAACAATAAATAATAAATAAATAATAGACAAACAGTCTCAGAGCTAGACTTGGTGGTGCAAGGCCTTTAAACCCAGAACTTGGCATGCAGAGGCAGACAGATCTGTTTGAGGCTAGCCTGGTCTATGGTGAGTTCCAGGCCAACAGATTCTGCACAGTGTGAGACCCAATCTCAAAAATAAATAATAAACAAATAATAATAAGTAAATGAAACAGCCTTGGAACTGGAGAGATGGCTCAGTGGTTGAGGTACTACTCTTGCAGAGGACCCAAGCTCAATTCCCATCACCACATGACAGCTCACAAATCTTAAGAAACATTTCCTGAGCCAGGTATGGTGGCACAGTCCTTTAATCCCAGCATGCAGGGGGCAGAGGCAGGTGGATCTCTGAGTTCAATGTCAGCCTGATCTACATAGTATGTTCCAGGCCAGCTAGGGCTACAGGGAGACCCTAGCAGGTGGAGAGACAAACTGATAGAGGGATGGAAGGATGAAGGAAGGAAAGATGGAAGGAAGGAAGGAAGGAAGGAAGGAAGGAAGGAAGGAAGGAAGGAAGGAAAGATGGAAAGATGGAAGGAAAGATGGAAGGAAGGAAGGAAAGATTGCCTGTATCTTCAGAGAGCTTTCTACTGAGCACAGTAGGAAACCCATATCAAGATGACTAGTGCAGCCTTCTGCCATTCCTCCTCTGGTCCTTCTAGCTTTCTTCTTTGGAGAAATGATCTTGTTAAGTGTAGAACTTTGATATATCAACCTTGGGTCTGCTCTGCCAATGCTTTTCTAATTTTTCCTTAGAGAAAGTCAGGGAGGGAATCTTTGCTGTTGGTTTGAATACTGTTAGGTGTGCACCTAACTTCTCAGGTTTGGCATTTGCCCGTCAGTCACCACTCTTCACTGCTCATGAGTTGTCTGTGCATTCTTAGCTTGGGTGTAAAGCATCCTTGTTGGGTTATTTCTGCTGACAAAGTTTTAGACTTCCTGAGAAAGAGTGCGTGTGCATGTGTTCCCGGATCTGTGTGCATACAAAGTGATATGCTGTAATTTCCCCTTTATTATAGGAACGTAGGATTTGCCATACTGATCAGCCCATTGGTGCACCAGCTCCTGTAACCTGCATCCTGCCTCCAATCCCTGGTGCTTCGGAGGAAGGCGAAAACCTAACATTCAAACATACACCAACCTCTGTCCCAATTTTTCACCTAGTGACTTGTTGAAATACTGTAACATGGGTTGAGGGGTGCGTCTGTCACCTAATTTTCTTATCTTTGACTTGTTTAGTACTTTGTAGTTGGTATTCTGGTTGGCACTGTTTCTCCTCCCTCTGGTAGTATGTAATGAACCCTAACACTCCAGTGGGCTCTCCTCGAAGGCCTGACCCTCCCAGCTCTGCTTTCTGGTGCTCTGCGCATGTCCTAAGTTACATAGGCTGGAGGGTGACACTCAGTAGGCCAAATTTTCACTGTAGAATACTTTTTGGGGGAAGGATACTGCTGATTGAATCCAGGTCCTTTCACTGAGGTACATCCCAAGACTTCAAGTGCATATATCCGTATGCAGCTTTTTATGTGTTGTACTACAGACTAGGTCCCATATGGCTTCACCTTGAGAAATGTATGTACTTAATTTATCTTGCTGTTTACAAATAGGAATTACTATGCCTTTGTCCAACCTTACCTACTGGCCTTAGGAATTGCATGCTATTGATGAAGTTCCTTAACACCAAGATTAGAAATCCTTCAAAAGGGACTGGAGAGATGGCTCAGCAGTTAGGAGTACTGACTGCTCTTGCAGAGGACCTGGGTTTGGTTCCCAGCACCTACATGGTGACTAATAACCATCTCTAACTCCAGTTCCAGGGAATTTGATGCTCACTTCTGGCTTCCATGGGCATTACATGTATATGGTAGGTACACTTACATACATGCAGGCAAAACACTCACACACATAAAAATAAATAAACAAATGAGTAAATAAACAGATAAAGTTTAACAGATAATAATAAAGAATAATTTTTTAATAAACAGATAAATAAAAAAAGAAATTCTTCAAAAAATTTTATCTTGCCACTGTTACGAAAGCAACACTTGGTATCAGAGTGTTGTGTCCATCCACCTGCTGACTTGCACTGTGTCAGGTGCCTGCAAATTCTCAGCCAGGTCCCACCTATCTAGTTGGTTGTCTGTTACATCTTTGGGGGTCACTTCTGTGTAGACCACTGCATGATCTCATATAACAGAAAGACAAAAGTGTATTGAAATTCCTAATTTTATGACACGAAGAAGTAAGTGATTTATATTAACAGGCAAATTTTCACCAAGAATACTCCCTGCATGAGACCAAAGGAAGTTTTGAAGTGTGATCATTTTCTAAAAGGAACACATCCCCGGAGAGTCTTCTAAAATGCACACCAAGAAAGGAACAGCCCTTCTACTTATAAGGATGTCAGTGTCCACAGTCACATTTCTCACCTAGCAGATAAAAGAATTGAGCCCAAGCCCATGATAATATTTTTGTTGTTTGGTTGGTTTGGCTGTTTCCTCTTTCTAAAAGTGACCCTCTTTGGGAATGCCAGGATCTCATGGTGAGTGTGAGTGACATCCTGACATTTTCCTTTTATTTACTGGACTAACAGGCATGGGATGTCTCCAGAGCCTAGTCTACCCGGCCCTCACTGTAATCGCATAACTAAGGCACAACCTCCCATCCACATCACCTGTCCCATTCTGTGCTTCTCGGGGAGTTATGGACCAGTGGAGTTAAGTGGCTCGACTGAACCACAATTAGTGTAATTCTCTGCGTTCTGAGTTCCTCATTTAGTCACATCTAATGTATCTCCTTAGCATGGGTAGGTCACTCAGAATTGTGACCAAAGGCCAGATTTATCCACAAGTCATTTATTTTGACTGGATTTCCACTGCCATTGGGTTTAAAAGAGGAGTCCTATTCTTATTATCACAAAGTAACTCACAGATCTGGGGCTGTAACTAAGTGTGCTTGCCTAATATGTACAGTCCCCTACATTCAATCTCCAGCACCACAGAAATAAATAAGGAGGTGAATAGGAAATTAGTCAGATAGGTGGATAGATAGATGATAACCAGCCTGCTGAGAAGTAAGATTTCTCTCTTGAAAAGGCTCAAAACATTTTTACAACTATTGGCTATGTATATTAATAACAACAATTAAAGAATAGGCATACTTAATTTAAACAACATCGTCACTTAAAATTTATTGCAAATTCATGTTTTGGGAGCATGGAACCTTCTTTTTTTTCAATTTTTTTGTCTGTATAGTTTTGTTTAAAGAAATTTTTATTTTGAGCTAAAATTTTGTTCTATTTTACTATTTATCTCAGTGGTTTCTATATTCTTACTTTTATGGTGAGTTTAAATAATTATGAATTATTTTCATATTTCAGAATATTCTTTTCTTGTTAGAAATTTAACAGAAACATGGGACATGTTTGCTGTTTCTATGATGAGCATGTGGCTGGCTGAATTTTCTTTTTGTTTGTTCCTATATCATGCATTGTGTTGCATTCCATGTAAATATAAATTCATCAATGAATAAATGTTTAGTTAAACAATCATTTTGTATGTTATTGTTTCATTCCTCTTAAGATCCTGAACATTCACTGCTTAGTCTGTAGATGATGACTAACTAATTGAGGGAAAAAGAGAATTTACCCATGAAAAAGATTGATTGACGCCACCTCACTTCATGCTTAGGAGAGTTCATGCTTAGGATTTGCCAAGGACCAGAAGAGGTCATGAGGAGTCCCTGGTTTGCTTGGTGGGATATATAGCTTTGAAATTTAGATGCTCAGTACTCCTGCTAATTTCTGGAACCAGATCCAAAAACAGTTCCTGACAAGCAAGCTAAGAAGTGGAAAATATGAATAATCAAATCTTGAAATCTTATGAAATATTAGACTGGAGAATAATTCATGAGAGAAAAATGTAAGAGAGACTTGTTGCCATTGGGATGTGTGTGTGTGATTCTGGGTTGCTTAAGGTAAAATATTACTATACAAAACAGCATCACAAAAAAAAAGGATTACATGACCATCCTCTGTTCTGCATTGCTTTTTAGGCTTTCACTAAGAATATATGCGTCAATGCAAGGGTTTCCATGTTTCTGTTCAAAAAGGTGTACAGTGTGATTACTCTGTGGTATTTCCCTCAGTAAATAATTTGTGGATTAGTACTTGACATTTATAATGTGATGTATGCTTGGATCCTTGGCTTGATATTCTGTATGGTCATTTAGGAGACAAGGTATGTCTTGAAACAAAACATTGCTTTGACCAGTGAAGGACTTTTCCTGCCTGTAAGTGATATTTTGCTGAGCAGGTTTATACTCTAATACCCTAGAACTGGAGTGGGAAGAAATGAGTGATTTGAGATCGATCAAGACATAAATGATTGCATTTCATTTATATTTGTGTCATGAGCATTCATAGGAAGCTGCCAGTTTCCAAATCTTGCTAAGATTTGAAATCAGAGTAGGAAGTTTTCCTTGCTAGTCTGCTGAGTAGAGGTTTCAGTGAGCACGTATGGTTTCTCTAACAGACCACTTGATGATAAAGATGATACATTTGCTATTTTCCAGTTCCTTTGTATGGACTGTCCTAGAAAGATGTGTAGCAACTTAAATATTTTTTAAATTTCTTTACTGAAATATTTGCGATCGATATGTTATACTTTAAACTTGCCTTTCCAGTACATCTGTGAACATTCAACATGTTAATGAGTGTTCAGTTTTAAAGTTAGATCCAAGACTAATATTGAAATGCTAGTAGAGCCAGGTGTGGTGGCTCAGGCTTTTTATCCCAGCACTCAGGAGACAGAGGTAGGCAGATCTCTGTGAGATCAAGGCCAGACTTGTCTACATTATGAGTTCCAGGCCAGCTATGGCTACTGGGAGACCTTGTCTCAAAAATAAAAAATAAAATTAAAAAGCTGATAGGTTCTGTGTACATTGTTGTTGAACTATTTTGAAAACTTTATTTAAAAGAACACCTGGTAAAGGCTCAGCAAAGTTCTGTTTGGGTACCAACTGGTATAGTTAATTGAACAAATCTGAACATTAGACCTATAGTAAGAATTTTCCTTGCCTCCTAGGAGGTGGACAGGGAAATCATCCAGGCCCCTTGTTGGAATTTGTGTGGTTGTCCTGTGAATTTAGATGCTTACAAGATATGTCCCTGAACCAAAACTTTGTCAAATTATTTATGCTCAGAAAACTTAGGGCCCACATTTTGAAAGGAAGTTACAAGAACTTTAGATGATTTGGAGATTAAAAACAGCATCATTTGTGTGCCACCTTTATCTTTAAGAACTCAGGGCCTTGAAACCTAATTTCTTCCCCCCAAAGTTTGTGATGTGTAAGTGAATTTCATGCTTATCTATGAACCTTTGCAGATTTTCCTGCAAGGGACTAGGACAGGACACTTTGGGTCTTTCCTACCTGAATTTATCAGAATTGACAGAGTGAACAAAGCCTTAAGAAAATGTATTGGGATCCTAAGTTTTCACTTCATGGTCACCCTCATTTCAAAGTCCCTTTCTGTTTCTTCCTGGCCATGTCAAGTATCACCTGAATTTGTCATAGGTTAATGATATTCTTGTCAATTTCTGGGATAAATGCCATCCTTCTTTCTAGCAAAAAAGTCACAGTCATCATTCTAAACCCATGTCTAATGTTCAACTTTTGTAGACATTCTCAACTTTCCTCCCCCCTCAGCCCTCCACTAACCCAGGTCAATACCACCCAAGGGTGCCTTGGCACAATCCTTATATAGTCATGCATGCAATTGCCCTGGTCTATAGGTTCTTGTCCTCTCCTTAGTATGTACTCCACTAAGTACAGAGATGATGTCTCCTAGCACCTATCTGCTATGTAGTTGCCTGGTGACTGGATGGGTGGATGATTGCTGTAAGTTAGTATCGCCTCCCTCCGAATTTCCTGGTAATATTTCCCAAAGCATTCTCATACCATAGAAGCTCTGTATCGTTTTCACAGTAAGAAGACATTTTGGTGGTTAGTTTTATCTTTGGGAAATTTAAAACCAGAGATGTTTTATACTGAACTGTGGGCTGTATGGCCACAGTGTCAGAGTCAGTAATATAGACCAAGGTCTGTGTTTGACAATCCTTTCTGAAAAATAAATACACTAAATTCTATCTCATTCCACCAGGTTGAGCAGGTGTGTCAAAACTTGGACTTTTTTTAATTTAGCAAAGTTTTAAAATTAACAGGCTGGGCCCCTACATTGACATCTAGAATTTCTCTTTTTCACTGTACAGGTAAATGCCAGCTGTCCCCCACAGTGAATATGCCACATGATGACACTGTCATGATTGAAGATGACAGACTGCCTGTGCTTCCTCCTCACCTCTCTGACCAGTCCTCTTCCAGCTCCCATGATGACGTGGGGTTCGTGATGACAGAGGCCGGCACGTGGGCCAAGGCTGCCATCAGTGACTCAGCTGACTGGTGAGTGGGCAATGCAGGGCTGGCAGACTGCTCTAGTGCATTCACTTTTATTTTGTGTTTTATATGACCTATTAATGAACAAAATTAATGAACCTTTATCACAGCTTTCTATTTTCATGGTTTTTATTCTCCCTGATCACTCTTTCAATAAAAGATTACACCCAACCCTGTAAACTTGCTCAATTGTTTTAGCCTTTGAGAGCTATGGTTAGTAATTTAGCTACAGTGACAACAAAACTACCACTCTCCATTAAAAACCTTACTCATTTAAGCTTGGGCATTTATTAATTTTAGATTGCTGCTAATTTTATGAATTGTTTTTCTACTAAATAATGTCAGAGCAAATCCCAAATTGATTCCAACAATTAGCTAAAAAAACCAATAGTTCATGTCCTTGGGAAATGGAGATTTTATTGAGGTTTTCTTTTCATTTTCTTTTTTTCCCCTCTCTTTGGGGGATGTATACATGTATGTGCATGTTTATGCTCATCTGTGAGTGTGCATGTAGAGACCAAAGGCTAGCATTGAGTGTCTTCATCACTTGCTCCCACTGAACCTAGAACTTGCTGTTGGTTAGGCTGGCTGTTCAGCCAGCTCCAGGGATACTCCTGTCTCTCCCTCCATTCCCTCCATCTCCCCAGCACTGGGATTACAGGCTTGTGCTGCCACACCCCACCTTTTACTGAAGATCCAAAATCAGGTCCTTATGCTTATGCAAGCAAGCACTTTACATACACACCCATCTCTCCAACCCTACGTTTTCTGTTCAGTGTTACAACTCTACTATCTATCAGGCTTTGACTGCTTCTAACACAGACACTTTGGGGCACTCTCTTGATTTTTTTTTTTCTTTTCTTTTTTTGCCTTTGTGTCTGTAAAAGAAGGCATTTGATGCTATTTGTCAATGTGTGACTCATGAATGTGGTCCTATCATTTAGTCTACATGCCTGGTAGATATGTATGTCAGCAAGCAAAACTTGCTTCACTGGTATGCATGGGTACCTCCTACCCATTCCCTCTCTGCAGTTGGAGGTATTGAGGACAGGCGTTTATTTGTGTTAACATTTTAGCAGTGATTTTAGCAAGTAAAACACTCCTTAGTCTTCTTCCCCTTCTAATATGAGCTCAGGAAAAAATGGCTCATCTATTTGCTAATTCTGCAGGTGCTCTCTTGAAAGAGCTTCCCTTGTTATTGGGGCCCTTGAAAAGTTTATCTCTAGCTTTTGTTTCTTTCCATTTTAATTCTCTTTTTGAACATACAAGATATAAAAATAGAGCTGGCTGAGATGATAATAGCTTAGTGTTGAATGAGTTTTTTGGTTAAGTGAAGGGGGAGGACAGCAATATACAGGGAGGAAAATGCTTGAAATCTACGGATGCTGTTTAATGTGAATAGTGTTTGTATCTTTCTGGAAGTGAGAACAGAAATGGAGTTTAGGTCTCTTCCTACAGTGTTCATCTTGGAGATTCAAAAGCCCTTGAATCTCCACCATGATGAAGTAGAGGGGTGATAGGGACATCTACGTGGGGCCTCAGGAGGCTCTGCAGGGTAGAAAGACACTGAGAGCTTGCAGGGATGGCTTGTGGCGTTAATTTCTCTGAGGTGGGTTTTGGTGAGGACGTCTATGATTTTCTCTGGGGACTGTAGGGCAAAGGAGGGCATATGAGTGAAGGGTTATCTAAACACACGTGGCAGCTGTTCAGGCTCACAGTTGAGAATGTAAGCTTTTCCAATCTTGACAATATCTCCCTAAGCTTTGATGAAAATGTTGGGAAAACAGAGGGCAGGAGGGCAAGATTAATAACTGGAATTTCGATAACACGCGGGGGTTGCTGGGGGGATGGCTCCTTCAGAGAGTCACCTGCCAGTCTTGCATTCTCACTTGTTAATATTCTAGTACACTGTTTATTGTCTCTAAAACGAGTTTAATGGGTATATTAATAGGAAGGAATTAATTATGTCACGGTTTAAGAATATTTAGTTATTTTAAGACTTAGTAATTTGCAGACTCATTTGACATTTTAAAATGTGTACATTTATAATTGACTGTACACTTGTCAAAGCTAAATGTGTCAAATGGCTATCCTTCTAATTTATTAACTTACAGAATATACTTTTTCCATCTATTTAGTTGATGTAGGGACCATTAAGTATGTTTTTAAGGGAAGTGAAAGATAGAACAACAAATTGTAATTTTGATAATAGCATAATTTTGGAAGTCATAAAATGAGTTTGGAAATATGCTAAATGGAGATTTTAGGCAATGTTAGCAGGAACAATTTAAATTTCTTTGAAAAATTTTTGCTAGTAATTTCTGTTAAAACTGTTTCATCTCGGAGTGGTAATATTGCAGATCTGTACTCCCAGCTCTCAGGAAATAGGACGATCACAGTTTACAGCCAGCTTGGGCTATAGTAAGACAGGCATGGTGGTGCATGCCTTTAATTCCAGCACTCTGGAGGCAGAGGCAGATGGGTTGAGGCCAGCCTTGTCTACACAGTGAGTTCCAGGCCATCTGGGGCTACAGAGAGACCCTTTCTCAAACAAACAAACAACAACAAAAAGGAAACCAACTAATGGGGCTGATGAGATAACTCAGTGGAAAACGTGCTTTCTGCCCAAGCGTGAGAACCCAAGTTTTTTTCTGTAGCACCCACATAAAAACTGGACAAATCTGGTGGCTTGCCTGTAATCCCAGCACCCGGAAGAAAGAAACTAAGGATCCCAGGGGCAAGCTGGCTAGCTGTACTAGCAAAATCATTGAACCCTGAGTTCAGCCAGAGACCCTGACTTAGTTAGCTTTCTGTTGCTGTGATAAAAACACTGAGCAAAAACAACTTGGGGAGGAAGTTTCAACTTACATCTCCCAGGTCATAGTTCATCACTGAAGGAAGCCGACAGAAACTCAGGGAAGGAACCTGGAGCACAGACAAGGAAGTACGCTGCTTACTGGCTTGCTCTCCCGGCCTTAACACAAGACCACGTGCCCAAGGGTGGCACCACTTACAGTGGTCCAGGCCCTCCCATATCACTTAACAATAAAGAAAATGCCCCACAGACATGACCACAGACCAGTCTAATGAAGGAAATTCCTCAGTTGAGGTTCCTTCCCCCCAGATGTGCCAAGTTGACAACTGAAGCTATCCAGCTGTTAGACCCTACCTCAGTAAATATAATTGCAGAGCCACTCAGGAAGACACCCATTGTTAACTTCTGACCTAAAGTACACATATTCATGAGCCTCCCCCCCAACACAGGTGAATACATACACACCCTCCATATGTGCAGACATTCACAAATAGTAAATAAACCAAAAAAATCTGTATTTCAAACTCATTATGTCTACAAATTTGATGCCTTTATGGAGTATGAGTTTAAACTGTTCTACTTGCTACAAAAAGGGGGAAAAAAAAACACCCAAAGCTAAGACAAATGAACAACAAAAAAGAGAAGTTGCTAAGCAATAAGAGGTCTACTTTCTGTATATAGAAGAATAGCTGCATTCAGTGTATTCAGTGTTGACTGCCTCAAAATTAAGTCATAGTTATCATGTGGGTTTTCATTTGTTTATTTCTATGGTTGTGTTTCTCAGCTGGGTGTCTTACTCTGAAATTGTTGGCCATTTTTGTCAAAAGCTGACCCTAGTCTGTGCCTGGACCCCTCAGATCCCAGTTTAAAATTGACCTTACTTCTTGGAGTTTCTAATCTGTTGAAGTTCTAGAGGAGAGTAGAGTGCAAGCAAAATGCCATGCATTAAGACAAACCTTTGCTCCCTGTGGGGCATAGCCACGTTTTTCTGTGTGCCGGGCCCTGGGCTCTGGCAAGACAGCTAAGGTGGAACAGAGTCAGAACTTGAGTTCTCCCATTGACTTTGAAAGATGTGAGCCAGTGTTTCTGTGAAGAATGTGAAGGCAAATAGGCTGGGGGCTTCACACCATTCTCCTATTGGTAGTGAAAATTTGGAGAATCGCAGGCTCAATTTCTGCTCTATACCACCAGATCCCATCCCTTCACTAATATGTAATGTGTCACAGGCTTAGGGAGGCCTGCAGGCATGGGAAACGAGTGGGAGTCTGTGGTAAATTCCACTGCTGCAGCAGATGTGGCCTCCTCAACCCCCTGGCCTGCTAGCTGAGGAGGGGCAGTCTTCTCCCTGGCTGCCTAAGAGTGCTGGCTCTACCAACAAAGAAGAGCTGCCGCGCTTATTTACGTGGTGTGTTCAGCAGGGAGAAAAAGGCATGTCCTGAGTTGGAACTGTGCTCAGAGCACCTCGTTGCCTGTTTAAAATAGATCCAGAGTCCGTGTGATCTTCAGCCACTTCCAGTGGGAAAGCACTTTGGAATATCTCAGTGTCTGTGGTTTTCCTCAGCCTCCTGTTCTCTACTTGAGCCAGTGTTGGCACCACCAAATCAAATGAACCTAGCCATACTTTTCCTGACTCCTCAGGGACTGTTCATTCTCTTGTCTATGCATCTGTTTCATATGTTAGATGAAATCTTTCTAATGAACTTGCTGAGAATAGAGATCATTCCTTCTGTGTTATTTTGATCCTGGTCTACCCAGCACAATACTCAATAGGTTCTATGGGAAGTTTGTTGAGTTGAAGTCTTTTGGGGTGATTATTTCAGAGGGACTACATCCTCATGAAAGGGTCCTCCCCCTTCTTTTTGTGAAACACAAGATAAATATATACAAGAGAATCAGAACACATCCTTTTCAAAACTGTTAAATTGCAGTTTATACGTGATCATATGTGTCTAGTACATGGCAGATTATCTCAAATATTCAACCTTTCCAAAGTCTGACAAATATCGGGCTCATTTTTAATAAGAACTTAGAAATAGTGTGTTATCGAATACAATGAAGATACAGGCAGAGGGAGGAAGAAGAAAACTCACACCCACAAGGTTACTCTGAATGTTAAATTAAATTTTCATTTTTTTCTCTTAAGTCACCTTTTTAAAAATGGACTATATTGTGTTTAGTTTAAATCTTTGAAGCGTGTACATATACTTAAACATATTCACAGACAAAAGTATATGTGAATTTTCTTGAAAATTGAAGGTCTTCTACTTTTTAGTAACTGCTTTTATGTTTCTCTCTCTGTTTACTCCAGCTCTTTGAGTCCAGATGTTGATCCAGTTCTTGCTTTTCAACGAGAAGGATTTGGACGTCAGAGTATGTCAGAAAAACGCACAAAGCAATTTTCAGATGCCAGTCAATTGGATTTCGTTAAAACACGAAAATCAAAAAGCATGGATTTAGGTAGTGAGTATAATCTCCATGAATCTTTATCTAAATAAGGTTTAGGTGTATTCAGGATAAAACTGATGGTCCCAAACACAACTGTTTACTTTGAACAATAGAGAAAATAAATGTGGCAATTGAGCAAAAATTAGTGTTTTTTTGAGTTTGAGATAGCCATGTTCTTCACACTGGCATGTTTATATACTATGTTAATGTGTGCTTTTGTATGAGCGAGGAAGCAAACACTTGTGAACCATGTCATATCCACAAATCTTTATGACATTTTAACACTTTACTATTTAAGAGGCTATTTTATTGGGATTGTATTTAGTTATCATGGGAATTTTAGCTGGAAAACAAGTTTTGGAGAAAACCCATTATCTCAATCCATGTCTGGAGTCCGGCTGCTGACACCCTCTCCCGCCTTTCATTGCTTTCCTTGAAAGGTTATTTGGAACACCTTTGTGTTTTGATCATTACAGACTTGAATCAAATTACTAATTTAAGAGAATATTTATTCTAGAAAGCATTTGAGAGCAAATGAGAGGAGGAAAATAACCATAGTTGTTCAGTCAGACACCAATCAGGTAGTGTCTCTCTTTGAATCAAAATCTACCAAAAAATATTCAGTAAATTACATGTATAAACTAAATTATTTTAAAAAAATCTTTATTAATCATACTGTAACTTATGCTATGTTCTGGTGGCTGTTTTTACTTCAAGACTAAAAACATTAATTTGTCAGATGCATATAAGAAAATTGAACAGTGCATTGCCTTGGCTAATTATGATATGCTAACATTCAAATAACACGTGTCGTGACATGAAATGACTGGCATATTGCATGGAGATACTGCTTATTTTTCTCCCTTTATTGATTATGAATGTTTGCTTGATGTTGTTTTATATGCATGAAATATTACCTAAGAATTTTGCCCTAACTGAAGATCAGGAGAGGGCTGAAGCATGTTGGGCTTTGGGTACTAACTGGGCTAACCATTATACATTTACCTTTTAACAGTAGCTGACGAGACTAAACTCAATACAGTGGATGACCAGAAAGCAGGTAAGAATGGACAGTTAGACTGTTGCCATAGAAACCATGGTCCAAGGAGCTTATCACAATTATATAGCTGCCAGTCATATTGCGTAAACATGAGCGTTCCAGTCTCACCCCAATGCTTTCATTGTGGGAAATTGAATTTCAGAAGAAAAGAAATTTTTTTCTATTATAATAAATTTATCAGCAATGTACATAGCATATGAGAAGATAATATAGTACCTTTCACATGTTAAAAACAACCTTAGATTTTCTCAATCATACTTACGTAGGAATGTTTTGTCGTGATGTTTTTAAAAAATCAAGATTCTGAGAAAACATCTTTCATTTGGACTGCTAAATTTCCAAGTCATTTATGTATTGTCTCAGTTAGTGGTTTTTATTTGAAAAGCAGCATTGCCTATATAAACATTTTTCACTAAATGACAGTGTTTAGGCTTGCTATCAATGCCTCTGCTATTGGCTCTGCTGTTCACTGCCTCTTTCTTGGATGCTGGAAATTAGCTCATAGTTAAACCTGACATTGGATTGGATTATATGATGTGTATAGCTCCATTAACTTGAAATCAGTTCTAAATTCACTGCTTCTAAAACACTGCTAAATCATTTCATAGAAATAATAATACATTGAACTCAGTTTAACAATATAGTATATATTTTATATTACTATGTGAAAATAATCAGCAGTCTGTCGGTAGTTAAGCAATGTGCTGCGTGCAGTTGAGCATGCATGATTTATTTGTGTATTTTGGAATCTTGTTTTAATTATTCTAGATCCAGGATAATGTAGTTACATCACTTAGCACTCATTAGCTTTAATTTGCCTTTTCAACCTGCTGTGATGATTAGTTTTAGCCTGTGTCCCACATACATGCATAAAGATTATCGTGGATGTAGTTGGAGTTACCATATTCTGTGAAGTAAATGATAGATTATAAATCTTGCATTCAATAAATCATAAAATTAGCTGTGTTGCAAGGCAATTAGCTACAGCCTCAATTTTACTAGTAGTTATTTTTCTTATCAAACATAAAATTCATTAAAATTCTGAAACAGAACTAGAAAGTCTTATAGTTTGTATAGGTAAAGCAACTAGTTAGTGTGTGGCATTAGTAGTATTCAATATTTTAAAGAAGTATGCCCTAAACAAAGGCCCTACAGCAAACTGAACTGCTTGTGCTGAAGTCTGAACTCTGGGCACTATGTCAGCTAGGTGAAAACAGGGCATGTTTAACTGAAACAGCTCAGAAACACTAGGAGGAAACGAATTTACCGTAATTTAAAAATAGCATACAGACTTAAATTAAAAACATTATGTAATTTTCAGGCCGGGTGTGGTGGTGCGTGCCTTTAATCCTCGCACTTGGGAGGCAGAGGCAGGCAGATCTCTGTGAGTTCTAGGCCAGCCTGGTCTATATAGTGAGTTCCAGGCTAGCTGGGTCTACAGAGAGACCCTGTCTCAAAAAGACCACCCCCCAAAATTATATAATTTTCATGATGAGAAGTCAGATTTTATCATCTAATCAAACTATGTGTTTCTAATACTTCACAATGTTAGAGTCTAGAGAAGAAGGACATTTTGTTTTTATAGTGTGCACATCTATATTAGGCAATTACATTGGAAAATCTTGGAGACAAACACTATATAGACACCAAGGTGCTTTTTGGTCTGTTGGTTTTAAATCACCATTAATAAAATATCTAAACTGTGCTCTCCCCACCCATTATCCCTCAGTGATAGATTTTCAGTTCCTTTGCTTTACTCTGCTTCAGACTTGGTGATTTTGTAGGTCAGCTCAGAAGAAGGTGTGCTGACATTGTAGCATGGGTGTCTCCCTTTACATAAGCCATTCGTAATGAAAATGGAATTCCATCTCCTTTTTGCCCCCTGCAAAAGATGTCCTTCATTGTGGCTTTTTACCTCCCAGAGGGATATTCATTGGTAGGCAGGAATTGGGACTAGAAAAGCAGGTCTAGAGCTAGGATGAAGTCCTGTGGTTAGAACATTGGCATAGCATGTGGACACAGTGGATTCTACTCTCAGCAACACAAAAACAAACAAAATCGCTCTAGGGAACATAGTCTGCGTATGATTTCCCTGACTCCTAGATTTAGAGATATGCAATAAATGTACATTCTGAAAGAAAAACAATAATGAGATTTTTAACCTTTTACTATTTCAGTTGTAAAATTCAAAATGCATTAAGAACCTAAAAGATTAATGTAAATTGAGAACCTTAAAATATTGTTTCAAAATGAAATGATACTGTTTTCATAAAATAATACTAAGTAGTCTTTGCCCATATATTATATAGAAGAACCCCTTTTCAGTTTTTATCACTAGTGAATGTTAAACTTAAAATACTGTTCTGGTGGTGCTGGGGATAGAACCTAGGGCTTTGTGCATGGTCAACAAGCATTCTACTCCTGAGCTGTGTTCCCCGCCCCAAATTCCTAATGTATCACTGAAAACCTTTTGTGAAGTTTCTTGCTTGGATGTATGATATCTGTTACAGAAGCAATGAGTGCTTTCTGTTAAGCATCAGATAGTAAGCATTTTAGGGCTAGCAGGCCATGGGGTCTCTGGCAACTGTTTAATGTTGCATGAGACTAGCCCTGGACCATATGTAAATAAGTGAGTGTGGCTGTGCTCCCACAACGTGTCCAGGTTTTGCCCTTCCTTTGCTGAGCCCTCTATAAATTGTCATGTTACCGAGGTTTGTTTTTTGTAAAACTTTCTATTGTGGCCAGGTATGGCAGCACACACCTTTAATTCTAGCAAAGGCAGGCAGATCTCTGTGAGGTGGAAGCCAGCCTGGTCTATATATCCAGTTCCAGGCCAGCTAGGGTTATAGGGAAACTCTGTAAACGCCCCCACCAAAACCCTTTCTGTTGTGAAAATTTCAACCATGCATGAACACATCATGCACAATACAATTACCAACATTTTGCTAAAATGCAGATTCACACAAGTGTAATGAATTTAGGGTAATAAATGGACAAGTAAGGCTCTAATGCTCTACATTATACACTGGTAATTTTGTGTGTAAGAGAGATGCTAGAAATTGAACTCAGGGCCCGACACATTTGTAGAGGTTTCTTGCTGGTGTAATTAATATTGCACCTTTGTCTTCCTTGCAGAGTTTCTTCATGTTGAGGGACCCTCATTTTTTAAATTCATTTTTCAGTTTTGTTATTTTGAATACATTAAATAAAAACCTCAGCTTAATTTCTGAAGAAAAGCTTACTATAGTTTTCTCTGTACAATGGCATTTGATGACAGTCAGAGCTGGGGATCCATATCTGCAGACAGATACATACACAGATATATACACACCTTCACAGCTACTCTCATCCTTACTGAACCCAAGGAAGCACCAAACATTTGCCTAATACGTGTTTTACATGACCCAAGTACCCTGGGAAATTTTGAGATCTTACAGACATAATTTCTTCAAAAAGAAAGTGCTGATTCTAGAGACTGTCAAAGAGGGTCACCCGTGTTTCCTGCTGGGCTTGATTCCTTGACATCTTCCTTTTGATTTCTTTCTTTGGAACATGGTTCATTTTCCTTCCTGTAACCTAACCTAAAGGTTGTGAATAATATGGAAAATGTACATGTCAGTTACAGTGCTGTGAAGATCAGCAGGAGTAAGATGTATCTCCTCTGTGTACTTTTGTTACAAAATAAATGATCATATACACGCAGGCCTGCATTTGGAAAGCAAAGTGTATCACCCTTTCTCCCAAGCCTGTAGCTGGATAACTTAGGGAGTATTTTTTGTCCTTAGAATCATGCCTGACTCTCTGTGTTACATGTTTAGCATCCCTTCCCTCCCTGAGCACTACCGCCCCATACTGAAAATTAGATGAAATATGTAATGTAAAGGAAGCTTTGGAAGATAATTCTTATTCTGACACTTTCAGTTTAATCTGCATTGTGTCTTACCCTCTGGACTGTGGAAAACCCGTGTCAGAGCTATTTGTCTTCCAGGTAATAACATGACGAAGCTACTTCCTAATTATTGATCGACATATGGGTTGATGACCCCATGTGGAGATAAACTATTTAGTTTTTCCACCTTACCATTTTTTTCATCTGTCTTTTTAGTAGGCTAAGTGAGGCACCAGCCCTGTCACCTGGCTTGCCCAGGTGGAGGTGTCAGCCATTAGAGGCTGCTGTCGTCCATCCCTGAATGCCAGGTCAGGTGGTGATGGATGGGGCTGTCTCATCTGCTTAAGGAAGTCAGTTTTGATTGCCCACCGAGCCAAGTCGCTTGGTATCTCAGGTTATTCTGCCTTGGATCTTTGAAAAATAGAGCCCTGTTTTTAATTCCCTGGGTTCTCCCTTGCCATCTTACTGAAATTTTCTTGGTTATTGCTAAGTCTTCCTATTTTTTAAAAAAACAGTACTCAAAGCCAGATGTGGTGGTATATGCTTTTAATCCCAATGCTGGCCTACCTGGTCTACATCATGAGTTCCAGGCCAGTTATGGCTATAGGCTATCTCAAAAAACCAACAAAATAAAACAAACAACAACAACAGGATTGGACATAGGAGGACAACCGTGTCCAGCAGTTCCAATCTCTCTTTCTGGGAAAGAGCCCTTAATGTTATTTGTGTCTATTCAAGTCTCTACTGTTCTTTTTGTAGAGCATTCTACTTCACAAAACTACCTTTTCACCTGGCACTAGCTCATCAGAACTGAGCTGGTGGCTAACAGTCCGTGGAACTGCTTTTGTTTATGTTAGGATGACAGAATAGATGAAGCCTGTGCCGGGACATCCACCTTCTGTGACCAGCTTTGTCCCATGGGAAGGCGTGTGCAGTTAGGCTAGAAAGCTTGCTCTAGACAGTGTTCTCACCCTCTGAGTTTTGAGTGCGATGATTGACTATTGTAGTTCTTTTAGCTATGTGTGTTACATTGGACAAAATTATTTGATAAAGATTTCATCTGTTCAGATAAAAACTAGTAATTTAAAGGTTTTTCTAATGAAAATAGAGACAAAAGTCCAGGGAAATTTGAAATTAGCCATAATTAGTTATTCTTTATATTTTTTTCATCTATATTTTAGAACTTACCATTGAGACAATAGTTTATACCTCTGAAAGTTTCTGCAACTCACAGATACTCAAGTTTGTGATCGTCACCTACCTCTCACTAACAATGCATTATTCTGACCACCCCCAAGGCTCCCCCAGTAGAGATGTGGGACCTTCCTTGGGTCTGAAGAAGTCCAGCTCCCTAGAGAGTCTGCAGACTGCAGTCGCTGAGGTGACCCTGAATGGGAACATTCCTTTCCACCGCCCGAGACCACGCATCATCAGAGGAAGGGGCTGCAACGAGAGCTTCCGAGCCGCCATTGACAAGTCTTATGATAAGCCCATGGTAGATGATGACGATGAAGGCATGGAGACCTGTGAGTGTCCTGGCTGAAGGAATAGCAATTACAAATTGGCTTGACAGAGCAATGGTTCTCACAGTGTGCTCCAGGGACCCATGGGTACCCAGGTCTTTCAGGGGTACCTCTGAGGTCAAAAGTGTTCCCAAAGTTGAGGTGTCAGTCGTCCCTGAAGTCTTTTGTTCTCTCAAGTCCATGTGATACTGGATGCAAACAGAAGCTGATAGGCAAAAAGGGCCTCACTATGGAGTAGCTCAGGCTAGCCTTGAGCAGGCCTGTGCTACCATGCCCAGTGAAAATTTGTCTTTTTAGCCAACATTAAAGTGAAATTTGGGGAAATAGAAGAAAAAAACTAAACTAAAACCAAATCATTATTCTTACAGTTATTTTGGAAAATGTAGGGTTTTAAATATATAATTTTTCTCACTGTATAATTGGTTTGTCACTTTTTATGATGTAATTTATCTGTTTAAACTGAGTTTTTGCACAGTGTTCAAAAAAAGTCATTTGGGTTTCTCAGTAACTCATGGGGTAGAAAGCTATACCAAAATGTTTGAAAACAGTTACTATAGTGTCTACAAAAAGATGTAAGCAGTAAATATATGCAGTAATTTGTGATCCTTAATTTTTTAAAATTTATTTTTATTTTATGTGTATGTTTTGCCTGCATGTATGTAAGCATACCATATGTGTGCAATGCCCATAGAGGCCAGAAGAGGGTGTTAGATCCCCTGGAACTGGACTTAGGATGTTTGTTAGCTACCTTGTGGGTGTTGGGATCCAAACCCAGGTCCTCTGCAAGAATAGCCAATCTTCTTAACCATTGAGCCATCTCTCCAGCCCCAGTTTGTGATCTTAAAAACAAGTTTTTGGACTGAACCAGCAGTGTATATTTGTGTGTTTTCCAAATTACTAAATATTTTAAGCCAAGCTAATTGAAAGTCGCAGGTGAATATGAGTGGGCAATATACTTTTCTATGGGCTGTTAAACGAAAAAAACAATATTTATAAATAAGTGCTTGGGGGTATCTATTTAAACATTTATTTAAAAATAACCATTCTATTGAAAAATAAGGGGAAACAGACTATTAAGGTATTTGCTTAAAGAACTTAGGACTCCTATAGCCAGATGTTACTGGTTAGTTTATTCCATAACTGTTGACTTGTATTTTATTCTTTTTAATGATGTTTCTTTTTTGTTAGTATATTAATAATTGTACAAAGCAGTAAGCTTCATCATGATGTTTTGATGCATGCACACAACATGCTCTCATCACATTATTAACCTTTGTTATTTCCAGTGTTTTAGTGTTTTGTCTTGTTTTAGTTTTGCTTTGTTTTTTCCCTGTGCTACTGAGGAACCTAGGGCCTCAGGCATGTGGGAGCACTACTGAGCTCCAGCCTGCCTTTTATCGGAGCTCTAACATGCCTGACATTTTTTATTTCAGGATTCCTGGAGGGTCACAACAAATTGTGTTAGTACATTTAATTTCACTGTATTGACAGCAATTAAACACTCCTAGACAGTCAGTAGGAAAAGCAGAGGAGGAAATAAGATCACATTTTAGTTTTTAACATCAAATGTGACTGTACCCATATGACTATTTCCTGCAAGAAAAACCGGGGGCTGTACAGCCTGATGCTAAAACTGAGACCAGAGAAAATTTATGTGGACTGTAAATTACTTTCATTTCCACATTTGGATAGGCTACTCTCAGAACACAGTCCTCAGGAAGATGGTGGCGGGAAAGAAGAGTCTTTAAAAAGATTATGTTCTAAAGAGATTTTAAACAAAATTGTATATAGATTTTGCCTGTAAAGTATAATATGTTAGGGTAATGAATATTTCTGCCTAATGCAATATGCAAGGCAAAACATAGGGAGAGGATTGCTACCAACCCACTAATCCCCCATTCACTGTCTAAATCTGGACAGGTTTTTCACTATCATCAGCCTGTGATTTCAAATAGATGCAGCCTGTTTTCACCAGATGAGGAACATATTTCCTAGTTAGCTGCCAGACCTGGTCTCCAGGATCCTGAGTCACGGTGCTGCCGCCCCTGCAGAATATTCTCCATTGTTAGGAGGGCTCCTTGTCTTTCCAACCAACACTTATGACACATTTACTGACTATGATGGATGTATATTTACAGAAGATGGAGGACTTCGGTCCCTTAACACATATTTTTCACATGTAATCACAAAGCTTCTGAACTGTTTTTTTGTTCTGTTGGTGTGTTATTTTAACCCTTTTTTGAAAGTCAGTTTTCATATATAGTGTATTTTTCCTTTAAATGTAAAGGGAGAGTGATTGTATATGAATACAGGCGTAGGCAGCTTTGTGTTATTAATGGATGCCTACAGCAGTTCCCTCTTTTTCTTTTTTTTTTTTTTTTCTTTTTTTGGTCTTTTTGAGACAGGGTCTCCCTGTAGCCCCAGCTGTCCCAGAACTCACTATGCA